GTAATATTAATGTATAAAAATATATAAATAATTTATAAGGGAAAATTTTAATAAGTTTAGGCAGAAATATCCCCAATCAAACAACCCCTTATATTCCCTTTTAGCTTAATTTAGACATGACTTTATCAATCTGTAAAATTCTAATGAGATGGTATTGTTAGATATTTTTTCAATACATTTCAAAAGTTTAAATTCCTTACCTTAATTTTAAATTAAATTTTTTTATATTAATAGATACCAATTTAACAAAACTCATATTAGTAACTTTATTAGATGATGAGATATTTTTAATTTACTAAATTGTGTTTGTCTTATTAGAGAGGATAACACCTACATACAAATGCGTACTAGAAAACTTGAAAATTTAGTGCTCCCTTACTAACTGGTTTGCTCGATTTGAATGAGAAATATTTGGGATACACGTTAGGAGGCAACTTCTTTGAGGCTTCCATAGAGAAATTTGGATCCATGAAGATGAAACAGGAAGGTCCATTACTCCAACTATGAAAGCACGTGTCCTTGGACATTAATAAATCTAAGTTAGATGATGCGTTCGATCCCATCCCATCACCTTGTCACCCACGGCACATATTTAAAACACATTAATGAATTTGGTATACTTACACATTAGGAAGCAACTTCATTGAAGCTTCCATCGAGAAATTTAGATCCATGAAGATGAAGGTCCACATATCTTCTTTATGGTAATCAATAAGAAGGTCCATCAACATATCCATTTCGTTTGTAAATGGTCAATGGCTCCTCAGTGAAACCAAGTCGTCCACGGAAATTCAAGTCAGCTAACGCGTCCTTGGTAATTGTTATTTTCTTTTAGTTATTTTTAATTATATTTTCTTTAATTATTCAAATAAATCTCAGAGAAATTATTTTAAAAAACAATTAATACAATCGTTAATTTAATACATTTTTTAATATTTTTCTAATTCAATTATTAAAATATAATATAAATAAAGTTGATTTAATCAATTCATATGTTCTATATGCATGTTGGTATTTTTAAATTTGTTTACCCTTGATTTCAAAGTAAAAAATAATAATTTTTAATTAATGTGTTGTACAATGTGTTAATTAAGATAATGTATCAATTAAGATCTAATTATTTTTGAAATTTAGTTAATTAATAATCCTCATGGATATCAATACTTTACTTATTATTATATTATTTAGAGTAACTAATGTACTTGTTAAAATAATTTTATTGCATCAAAATTGATGGAATAAAATGGTATTTCAACCTTTATTTTTTTATGGAAATATTTCAACCCTTATTAAATGTTAAGAATTATATAATCTGAATTGTGAGGACAATGTATTTTGGAAATTAGATTAAATCCACTAATAAATAGAATGCCTTTTACATGATCATGATTTGTGATTCTAAATAAAAATAATTAATTACAAAATATCACATTACATTATACAAAATATTATACTTACAAACAATGCATGTAGCATTTTCTTCATTTTCTTCCTCTATTAAAGTTCAGTTTTGATGAGGTGGCTTTGTTAGATTTTTTTTGTATATTTGAAAAGATTAAAATTTTAAGTTCTAACCTTAATTCTAAATTAAAAGTTTTATATTAATAAATATTAATTTAACCAAACTCATATGATTCACTTTATTAGATGATTCAAAATATTTTAATTTATTAAATTATCATTTTCATATTAGAGGGGATGCCACGTACATATAGACAAACTAGAATTAGAGTGCACCTTCATTCGCTATAGTAAACTTGAAAATTTAGTGTCCCCTTCTCACGCCACTAATTGGTTACCAAGATTTTGATTAAGAAATATTTAGTATACCTACACGTTAGGGACTTAGGAGGCAACTTCATTGAAGCTTCCAATGAGAAATTTGGATCCCCTTAAAGACGAAAGCAGTAAGATATCCCCATCACCCTTAGCGCACGGTTGAAATACATTATTGAATTTGGATGAACCAAAAACAAATACATAATTGAATTTAATATACTTACACATTAAAAAGCAACTTCATTGAAGCTAGCTTCCATCGAGAAATTTAGATTTATAAAGATGAAAGTCCACAAGTCTCCTTCATCGTAATCAATACGAAGGCCCATCCACATGTCCTTTTTGTTTGCAAGTCTATGGTTTTACAGTAAAAGTAAGTTGTCTATAATTAAGTCGTCTATGAAAATCTAACTCAATTGACACGTTCATTATCTCATCCCATCTCTTTCAATGTATTAATTACTTTAATTTTTACTTCTGAAAATTGTACATAAATAGTGAAATTATAATCAGCTTAAACATCAATACTATCTATCTAATCGAGTATTTTTTTATCACCATTGAAATTCTCTCTTTTCTTTTAAAAAAGCTAAGAACTTTCATTCTCTACCCTTCAAATCTTAGAATGTCGACAAATTTGACGCATAACTATGGACAAAAACTCTATCTATATGATTAAAAATTGTAGGTCTTGCTCCAAGGCATATACCTTCGAACAAAAAAATATAATTATATGTAACATAGCTATAAAAGCCTAATCTAACTATGCTCTTGGCAATATTGTTGCAAAAAGATGCATTTAGCAACTATATTAATTGTTGCAAGAAGAGGGACTTTCGAACTATTTTAAAAAAGGAAGAGAACCTGAGAACCTCTAATTTGACTCTACAAAAGCATTTACCGCTATGCCACTGGATATGCCGAGCAAGAGCTGTAATTAGTGTTGGGCATCGATCGGTTTATTTATTGAACTGATTAACATGAACAATTAATAGATAATTCTGTTAGAAAAAAGAGTGAAGCAATCACCAAGCTATAAAAAAAAAGTCAGTTTTATTGGTTCGGTGACGGGATCATTTAAATCTTTTCATATTGGTTTTAGTATAAACTGAAAAAAAAAAAAAAATTAAGCAAAACAATACGTATTTTTCTTAAGTATAGGAGACTTTAAAAAATCCAAATTAATTTAGTAAAATAAATATTAAAAATATATTCTGTGGGAAACTGAAAAAAATTTCCAATTAATTAAAAGGGAAATTGTGAAAGAATCCGGCCCCAGCTAAACAAATCCCAATTAATTAGGACTTCAAGAAGGAATCTGGGAAATATCCTGCCCAAGCTTCAAAAGTCCTAAAATAATTGGGCT